ATATATATATATATATATATATATATATATACACAATATATGTTTCGGGTGCAATCGGCGATTAATTCGCAACAGACGCGTTGTTCACACGAGGGAAGGGGATCCCCCCCGGTTTTTCGAAATTCTCGTCACGGATCGTGATCTTCGGATCCGGATTCCAAGTATGAACGCGCGAACTCTTTTCATTAACGAGAAACGACGGCGCTTCCTCTTTCTTTCTAGTACATTTTAAACTCCTTTTCTCGTATATGTGTGTGTGTGTGTGTGTGTATGTGTGAGTGTGTGTGTGGTGCGCATGTACGTATGTTAGTGTGTGTTGCAGTTTTGTTTACGCATGCACGCACACGTGTGCGTGCGTATGTTTCGTTCGTTGTATCCTTTCCATTTTGCATCTCGACTCTTTTTCTCTCTCTCTCTTTCTTTCTTTCTCTCTCTGCTCTCGCGACTTGAACATACCGCTCGCGTTCAGGAAGGGAAATTTGTTTTTTTTTTAACGCTTTACCTTGTCGACAAGTCGCTTTTTACTATTACTTTTTCTCGTATTTTTTTCCCTTTTTCCTCGGAGATGCAAGCTCCGGAGACGCGGAATTTCCTCTCACGTCGAAACATTCTTTTTTTTTTTTTGTTTAGATTTCTACACTCTGTTGTATTTTATCGTGTGCGTTTCGTTTCGGAAATGATCGAGTTCGCGAGGGAATCTCCGGTATCGTGTGATACAGCCTGAGTCGCGGGGGGTTTTATTTTATTCTATTCGCGAGAATTGTCTGCGGGCGCGCGCGCGCGCGCGCGCGATTTCGCGAGTTCGACAAATTCGTCGTTGTCGCGAGTCCTGGCTGGGCTCCTAGAAAAAAAAATCGTAGGTAGGAGCGCGCTCGCAGGGTAGGCGACAATACGACTGACGAGCCGCGCTCTCGACAGCTCGAGATAATTCTGAAAAGTCAAACTCATTAGCACATTGGGTTAAAAACGTTTGTCGACGTCCACGACGACACGCGCGCGATCAGTTCGGATTCTCGCGCGAAATCGTCGTCACGAAGTGGACCTCGATTTGGTAGTGTGTCGATTTGAGAGATGTACATATATATATGTGTATAAATTATATATCCCGGTGTAAGCCCTTGTGTCGGATAATCGCGATTGGGCCGACTTCCTTCCGATTCTCATACGTCGTCGATCGACCTCGACGAATCGTGCGAGAGAGTCGTCGTTCTCACGTAGAGAGTCTACAGCGTCGTCTATTAACAATCCCGCCGCGCGAGGTTCGTTTGCTCGCTTTCTTGTTCGTTCGTTCGTTCGTTCGTTCGCTCGCTTGCTTGCTCCTCGGGGCGCGTTCACAGGAGGCGAATATTAAAGCGTTCGGACGGCACAAAAGCGTGTGTTCTTTCCCCGTCCTCGGGTTCGCGCGGAGAAGAATGATGCTCGGCGTGTGTAACAGATACAGCGCCGTTAAAGAGATCGCTCTCCTTGGGTCCTGCGATACTCCCTGCTTTTCTTACGCGATCAAAGGCCAATAGGATGAAGAGTGTGCGTGTGAGAGAGATAGCTATTGTTGTTCACGATTGTTGCCACAGATTTGACGTGAAAGACTAATAATAATGAAGATAACGAAGAGCAGGTTAATATCGGGAGAGACCGCAGCATTCTTCTCCGCGCCCGCGGTTATGGGAACCACAACTCACACCATGCTAAGAGATCTCTATACGGGACAGCATTTTCGCCGCTACTTGGACGCGCGAGTTTCATCGTCGTGATCTTGCTGTCGCGTCGCGTCCGCGAAACCACGCGCTGTTTCGCTGACATACACGAGAAGACTGCGAGTTTTACAGTCCGGGAACGCGCGTTGCATCTTGCCTCGCTCTGACGCTTCGCGAACTTACCTTGGGCCAGTCTTTAGCGAGGCATTCTTGCAATCGGCCGTTACAGAAAGAATATATCGATCAGAGACATTACTTCGCGCAAGGATCATGAACGTACCGCGGGGAATGAAGATTTCCCTCCCCTCTTTCCTCGTTAGACACGATCGAATAATTCATACAGTTTGACGAAGAGCACGTTTCTCTCAAAGAATAGAAAATATCTAAAATCTATAAATGCAGTTGAGAAGAAAGAATTAAAAAATCGCGCCGTTTCAATAGACACGCGATTGTATGTACAATACGCGATGTGAAACGCGCGCGAACAATCGCGTGATTGATCCTTTGAAATGGAGTGCAGTTTGCAAGACCGCGCGCGTGGTTCTCTCCATTCGAGACAGAGAGAGCACGACATCCTATTCGCGATGTCATCGACGGACGTTGTTCATTCGTGAAGGGTTCGTGAAACATTTGTCGCGCTGGGTATGACTAACGCGAGACACGTCGTTGTCGACGCTTCCTCCGTGTATCGCAGTCGAATAAAGATGAAGATCTTACCTTGTTTGAAACTCTCACTCCCTTGCCTACTGTGCGGTCGCGCGAATGTCTCATCCGAGGCTAAAATCAACATTGACGCACGTCAGCATACGGCTCGCAATTTTCGCATATCAGTGACATTCATTCACTCTCGCTCTTTTTCTCTCTTACTTTCGTGCACTGCCTCCTCTTACCTTGCGCCGAGGTACTGGGCGTTGGTTCTGGTTCTCGCTTGACCCGCGTCAACGGCGGCTCGGGGGTGTCAGTGCCGTTCTCCGTTGGTTCGTCTTTTCTCCCCGAGGAGGCCGTAGCGGCGGGATTGTTGGCGAAGCCCGTCACATTATTGGCTTGGCCGCTCCTCACACCGTTGCCGCTCGTTTCGCTCTGGAAGTCCAGGCCCATCTTCATCTCCATCATCTCCGGCGAGCCTTGGACGAGATCGGCGCCCGAGCACGATTGCAGATCCTGACCAGCGGCCTCACCGATCGGCGTATCCGATGAGCCGCTGAGCTTCCTGGGTCTGCCGCGCTTCCTCTTAGGTGCGGTCAACGCCGAGCCCAGCAACGGATGGCTGGACATATGATGGAACCTCTTCTGTGAGACATGGTGGTGATGCGGACCGATCTGGTTGATCCGGTGGAGGCTGGGTGGCGGCGGTGGTGCCGCGTTCTGAGCACCGCCCAATAGCGACGACGTGATACTCGGCAGATCGCACTTGTCCTCGTTCACCTCCGTCAAACCCTTTATCCTCAGGGACTCCGCGACCCGTAGGAACGCGGTCAGCCGGTCCTGATCGACGCTTACTTCGCCACGATACATAAAGTCCAGCAGGCTGCGCATGTCCACGTACGGCACATCCTTCAGAATGACTATGGGATGCTTGTCGGGGTGACCGATAAATAGGGCCTGCGCAGGAGAAGCAATTTTACCGCTCACGTTAGTCATAAGAGATTGTGCTTATTTATTTATTTAGCGGATAACTTTGTTCTCAATATCACAAAAGGAAAAATTTCTTTCCTTTGCCTCTCTTATCTTATTTATTTCGAAATTTATTATACTTTAAAATATGTTTGATGGAATTATAGGATTTATTGTTCTCATTTCTCCTCTATACTATTGTATATATAAAAAGAATATATATATATATATATATATATATATATATATATATAAAATGACGTATTGTAAAATTGAGCAAAATGGATATGCGACCAAAAAAAGATAACAAAAGGCTCACCTGAAAGTAAGGGCTACACGCCGACAGCACCATTTTATGTGCCCTGAGTAACTGACCCTCTACAGCCAACGTGACATCGACGAACGACTCGTCGTGCAGCAGCTGGTCGAAGACGGAGAGCAGGTTGCTCTGATGGTTGTTCCAACGCAGACAAAACCTCTGCGACGCCATCGCTTCGCTTCTCAGATCCGCCAGATTGCCGTTGATGTCCGCTAACATGGGACCTGGCTGTTGGTCGCGTTCCCGCCGTTGCCACTGCCACCGCCACTTCGTCGTCCTCGTCGTCCCTTTTGCTTTTCCGCGCCGCCACTTTCTACCTCGACGACGAAGCTCCTCGTGTTTGCTCGTGCTGCTGCTGTTCCTTCTTCTTCTTCTTCTACTACTCGTCCTCGTGCTGTGCTCCTCATCGGCCGTGGATTATCGTGTTCGTCTTATTCGTGACCTGCCACAGAAAAAGCAAATAACAATTAGAGGGTGCCGTGTGAATACGGCTTCTTAATAAATCCAAATGTCTTCGACCTCAATCGTATCTTCCTTTCAACCCTTTGTTTCGTAAACTCTTGCAAGTTCTCAGAATTTTAGATTTCGTGCGATGTACTGAAAGATATTCTCTCTCTCTCAACTTATAATATATCTAGGCTCTCGAAACTATAAGCGAAACAACTTTGAGAAGAAGAGAGGACCGTGATAGAGGATTGAACGTGGGTGTACGACCCTGGAGGACGTAGGCAGGCAGCGAATAGACGACTAGCCTGACTCGTGTTTGCCTTTTATGCAATTCTCCTCCTCTCACCCCTTCCAGCGCGGTCACGTACGCGCGACACACGTTTCGTCTCTGCGGAGATGAGGAGACCGCGAGAGAACGATCGATCAAAATTGATGCAAAAAAGAAAAAGGCGCTTTTGTCTATTTCTGTCATTAAAATGAAAACTCTCATTCTCCCTCTGTCGTTCGCGATCCTCGTTAATTGATATCGTCCGTTTTTACACTTTTGCTCTTTTTGCGATATATATATTATAACAGTGGGACGAAAGAGATCACAATCCAGACAGGATTAAAGAAAAACAGAAAAGGAGCGGAGAAAGGGGAACAAGGAGAAAGAGAGAGCTTTATATCCGCCAGCCTCTCCTCTCGGATCGTCGCTATGGAGAGAAGAGGTCGTCGGGTCGGCCGAGGGAATCAATAGCATTTTCTACGCATTCGGATCGATAGCCGGGAGAGCCGCTGCTTTCGCGCGCAAATCGTGGTGCATGTGTGTGGGTCGAGCACGGGGTGCATGTGCGAAAAACGCGCGCAATAATAAAGTGGCGGGGTCTGGCCGATAGAATGCGAATGTAATGTCGAAGTGTCAAAAGTAGGAGAGAAGAGGAAAGAGGGGGGGGGAGAGAAGAGAAGAGAATAGGAGGGAGGGAGGAAGGGAGAGAGAATACAACGCGCAGGCACCGAAAAAACGTCGATTGACTGTCGAATTAATTAATTAATTATGACGATCTAGATACTTATCTTCCGAACGAGTGAATATCGCGCGAGAATATTGTCGCCCACCTGCATTTCGCGCGCGCGCACACACAGACACACACATATACACACGCAAATACACGTGTGCATACACCGCTGCATATGGCGCATGGATGCAGCAGCATGGTTGCGCGACCTTGCGCGACCTTGTCGGTGACCAGAGCGCGAGCGTACGTACGGTTTTCACGGTGAATGGCAGCCCGACAACACCATGGCGAGGTAGCGCGCGCGCGCGCGAGTGAGGGAGAGAGAGAGAGAGAGAGAGAGAGAGAGAGAGAGAGAGAGAAAAGGGAGAGAGAGAACGAGAGATCGACCTTTAACGATCGGGATCGGCACACTCTCGCGGGAACGTCGAATTATATTACGGCATCCGAGACGGCCAAGCGAGCGAGCTGCGGAGAGGTATCAATTAGTCCGCGAAAGCGGAAAACGCCCGCGGCACGATCGGATTACGCGGCCGAACGCGTAACGAGACGATCGCGTTGCAGCAGCGTGCGCGCGACTCCATAATGCACCGTGCGCACATTTCGATCCGAAAGGCGAAATAAAAGGGATGTTACGCGATACAATCCGAAAACGTCCCGCATTGTGCAGCGTTAATCCGCCGACCGGCCCATTGAATGGACGCACCGCGCCGAATCGATGCACCCTGTTTGTGTGTGTGTATAGTCATGTTGGCAAAAAGGTTGCAACACTTTTTTTCCCCGCAATGAGTTTCGCGACACACATTCGTGTCCGATGGGAAAATTTGTTTCTCGTTGACTCTCGGGAGATGAATTTATCCATTGGATATGTACCGGACGCGCGCTGAACTTTGTCGGAGTAAAAGTATCGCGATCTTTTTGCCATCGACTGTATAGTCAGTGGAGAAAAAGGTGGCAACAACTTCTTCAGCCATCTTTTTCTCCCTGCCACTGACTATGCATTAGGCTTCAAGGCCTCAACATATACTAGATCAAAACTCACTGATAATTCCAACCTCTCCATCATTTGGATATACAGGGTGTCTGACAAAGTGTGCCATATCTTGTGTGCGTATAGATTAGGTAAAATCGATCACAAAATTCCTCTACTATTTTGCAAACGACCACGTAGATCTATAATTGTAGAAGACTGACGAATGATCGCGCGCGGTTAACCAGAAATGTTCTTTAATTAATAACTGAACCTGCTTATTATGGTTATTTGTAAAATGGTAGAGTTTTTTTTTCTTTTCAGTCTGATCTAATTTACACGACGGCAGATGTCGTCATTCGCGATCATTGGTCAACCTTCTTCAATTAATAACTCAAAATTTTGCGTGGTTGTGTGCAAAATGGTGAAAGAATTTTGCGTTCAAATTGGACTTAATCTACATGTGCACGAGATATGGGATACTCAGACACTCTGTATTATGACATGAAATACCAAGTTAACAAAATGAAAAATTAAACAAATGACCAGTCATGATTTTAGACGCATATCCAGACACGATTGGAACGATTAGAGAGGCTTGTGAACGCTGGCCTAATAAATATCTAGATTTTATGGAAGCTTAATGTGTATAATCAGTGACAGAAAAGTAGCAACAGTCAGTTTTCCTCCAAGAAGTCTCGCAACGAGAATTCTTCTTTTCGTAATTCTCAGACTTCAATTTCCTTGTTGGATACCGCAAACGTGTTCTAAGATTCATCGAGGCAAGAGCGTTGCATTTGTCTTTTTCCACTGACTATACTATTGCCGCGATAAGGGACGAAGAACGGTGCCTCGCGATTCTTTTGTTGTCGAAACAGTATCCGTTATCGACGATGATTATGAGAAACAGCCCCTGGCTCGATACGGCGATTGCCTGCCGGAGAACAAATAAATCAACGTTTTATCGCTGTTGGATCTTTCTAATATCCGACCGCTTGAATTGATTTCCGTTAGCTCGCCCCCGACCGCGCAAATTATTTTCGATTATCGAGACCAGGGCGCTCGCTACAGCGCGTTACATGCACCGACAATTCACGAAACCGTTTGCGTCGCGAACATCGATGATTGACTTTCGCGTGATCCAAAAGCCGGCGCTTTGTGTCGCGGAAAAATAGAGACAGAAATAAGTCCGCCGATCAATGGCGCACGCGAAATTAATATAAACTAATTCCACGTCTTCGCGAGTTGGGTGTGTCCCTATTTACCTCTCTGTTTAAACAAGTCATTTAACGAGCGTCCAAGTATCGTCGCGCGTCAATTACTTAATAAACAATATTCACTGCTAAAAGAGAGTGCAAAGCATCGAAAATGCCGCTTGCGTCTTGCTCTTTTCCAGCGTCTCTCTCTTTCTCTCCCCGTTCCCTCCTTCTCTTTCTATATATCTCTCTTAGTCATTTGAGAATTTGTTGGCGGAAGGAATGTTCACATCAGGGTTCGAGTAATTTCCGCATTTCTGTTCATTTCACTTTTCCTTTCATTTTTTTTCCAATCTATGGTGATTTTTATCATCATTGTTATTTTTTGTGCTTCAATTTTCCCAAAACGCATAATAAATTTATCTTTATTTCTCTCTCTCTCTCTCTCTTAGAAACAAGTTTCTTGATCCCCGACCGATATCAACCGCGGCCTCGATAATTCGATTTTCGGCAGAGAGAGGAGTCAAGCACGAAAAGGACTCACCGGGCCAGACGTAAACGATGACTATGACAGTGTACACAACTGCGTTGTTCTCCGAGACTTAAGTAAGCGCGCAAGTAAAAACCACCGGAGAATCTCTCTCTCTTTTTTTCTTTTTCTCTCTCTCTCTCTCTTGCTCTCATGTTTACTTATCGTCGTTTTGATACTCGCGCTCGAACGCAGCCGGTTCTTTTCTTTTCTACAGTTGTGGGAATAAGCGCGCGCAGGAAAACCCGAAGGAACGAATTCAACGACGACGACTGCGGCGGCGACGGCGCCGCGAGATTAATTCGCCGTTACCTCATCCGAAGCGGCGCAAACATCATAATCGAAGATACGAGGAATGCGAATCATCAATACGCGAGCTTGCCGGTTGTCTGCCTTGGTGCGCGTGCGCGTGTCACATTGGATGGACGGCGTAAATAGTCACACCATAATCGGTGTTATTGTCACACGAGAGTAGTCATTCGCGATTCTGCCGAAATGAATCGGTTTGTAGGACTCGGCTATTTTTTTCGTAATCGACTAATCGGCACGAAAAAGTATGATCGATTCTAAAGAACCGGTAAAAATGTAAGTGATGTAAGATCTAACCTGCTTTCGTCATCATCACTTCCAAACGATTAATCCACAGCATAAGAAGATATAGATTTATATTGAAGTACAAAATATTCGGTAATTTAGCCTATTGAAGTGGAGACAGGAGGCGAGTGAATTCGAAGTGAAAATTTCTCGAAAATAAATATGGTGCTTTACCATCGGCAATACGCGCGTTATCTTATTTTGTTCCACATTCTACGAATAACAAAGAGGGGATTATGCTTGTGTCGACTTATGTCACTACATGGAAAGCACTCACGGTTTACCAAGTGGATATTCTCAACTGGAATTACCTCATTTTTGCTGGTGTCGATTCTGAAGTATCAATTTCGCGAAAAAAAATGAATTGTCGGAAGAATCGAGTCAGAATCGACTTTGTCGCACAAAATATAATCGATTCTCAAACGACAGAGTCGAAATCGTGAACAACCACTCGAGAGGACGCGACATAATTTCGCGTGACGGCCGCCGCCACCGCTCGATTAATCTACTTTCCGCGGGCTTCGATCGGCGGACGAGAAAGACAAAAAGTGAGAAAAGCAAAAAAAACGTCGATAAAAAGACTTTCGCAAAAAACAGTGTTATTTCTACGCGAAAACGCCGGTTGCTGGTAGCGATGCAGCCCCGTTTCGCTCAGAGGACATTTAATAATGAGAAAGAGAGAGAGAGAGAGAGAGAGAGAGAGAGAGAGAGAGAGAGAGAGGGAGGGAGAGAGAGACGCGCTACTAATAATATTTCCGCTCTCGTCTTCAATATCGTTGACACCATGATCATTTAAAGCACATGACGAAATGAGTTTGTGCGTTTCGCTCCTGCTGCCCAAATATCAGCTATGCACGTAAACTCCTAGACGCGAGATACGCCTTTGCGCCTTCGCCTCATCCTACAAGTCATCACGCGCGCCATACACGCCTACACGCGCGTGGTGAACCTTGCACGCGCTCTCGCGCGCGCGCTTAAACCACAATAGTGGTTCTCAACTATACCGCCGAAGCGGCGAGCGCGCAACCCTTCCTTCTTTTTCACCTACGCGAGTATCGCGAGAAACCGCAGCGGCATGTTGCTACGGAACCGTGGAAACGACGTTTGCCATACGTGCATCAGGAAACGGCGAGACTCGCGAAACATCGACGATCACACAACGCGGAATCCGTACCCCCGTTAATTTCGACGATAACATCGGCGCGCGTGCGCTTCGCGATCTGTTGTTGCTGTAAACACCGCGGCGATATCCGATAATCGCGCGCGCGCAACCAGTCCTGCGATGACACCGTGGACGGACTTTTGTGTGCGCACGTACGCTCGTGTATGTGCACGCGCGTGTGCGTGTAGTGCGCGCACGCACACACACGATTGCATTCTCGCGCGCGGGGCACGCTCTCATGGCCACGCGTTGCGTAATCAGCGCGACGGAGTCACGCCGCGAGGTACAAAACGAACGACAAGCGCTCGCTGGCTCGCGCGCCGCGAAATATCGCGCCGCCGCTGCTGCTGCCGCGCGTTGGAGCAACCTCGGGAGTCCTCGACGCACACACACACACACTCGCAGCCGGGGACTCGCGCTCGGCGTTCTCCGGCGCGCAGCACACGCGCGTTCCTCTTCCGCGTATACACATGCCTCACGCGCGCGCGCGCGCGAGAGAGGATACCGCGCGTTTCCGCAAGGACGGCGGCGACTTCAGCTCGCAGACGTGACGCATGCGCACACGCGCGCATCTTGCTCTTCGCTCTTTTTCCCCCCTTTTCCGGCGCTGTATCCTTCATCGTTCTTGTCACGAGCGATCAATTATTTCGCGATTGAGTCGAGACGAGTTTCAACGGCTGATCTCCGCTCGCCTCATCCTCGGCGTCTTTGTAACACGAAATGTAATAAAGTTACGTTCACAATGCGTGTTCCCGCCACTGCCCAGTCTTCGTTCCCATCGAGAGCGCATCGACGACTCAATAAACACGTTCTCGTCTGTCT